ATTCCAAACACAATGGATATAGTAAGTCCATCAATTCCAATAATAAACATAATAAGGAAGAAGTAATTTTCTGCTCTTTACAGCTAAAAAAGCAGAGTCACAGAGTTTTACTAACTTGCAGTACCATTTGCAGGAACTTGTTTTTAGTCACTATGTATACTGTCCTTTACCCTCGTTATAGCTCCCTAGCCTAGAGCATAAACTTTAAATTCATTAATCTGGTGTGTGAAGTCCTTCACAATGTGCCCTCTTCCTCACTCCTTAATCTTACTAAGTATTCCTCAATTCTCTGATGTATGTCCTCATTCTGATGTATGTCCTCATTCTTTTTACATTCCATGAGATCGCCACCTCATTCTTCAAAATGCAGACATAGCCTCACTAGTAAAGCCTTTGTGGAATTTCTCCTTACTGTGATGCTATCAAGAGAATTGCTCTCCAGGGTTGCAAGGGCTGCCCACATACACAGGATGGTATTTTCACATGATTGTTACCAACCAAGTATCTGTGCACTTCTCTATAATGATAGCACCTAACAAATTATTATTATTATTATTATTATTATTGGAGGAAGAAATAGCCATCACATTTGTCTGCCAAGTCAAAAGCCAAGACTGATGAAAAAACCTTCACAATGAACTGAAATAGACCATATTTCTCCCTTTGTTCTCAATGGCCATGTAAGCTCATATAGACAATATAGGCTCATCTGTCTCTAATTATGAGTCCTCCGGAAGCAGAAAATTCAGAGGTATTGTCATAACTAAAGAAAATAAAGTCATATTCCCTCCTATATAGTGGCCACTTGACTCATCTCACCAGAATAAAGGGCTAAATCTCTGTCTTTAAACTTTTTTTTAATTTTTAATTTTAATTTTTTATTTTAAAGATGTGGGGTACAATTCAGGATTAGGTATACGAGTGGTCATAATACAGGTGAAGTTTGGACCTCCCTTTGGTCCCCACTTTGCCTGATTTGAGATAAGGTGCCCTTATTGATGTTGTGTCTTTCCACCCTCCTCACCCCAGCAGTACCCCTTTACTGCCAATCCCTTTCTTATAGTATTATAGTGAATGTTCAGGGTCCACTTATGAGTGAGAATATGTGGTACTCTATTCTTTGTTTCTGTGATAGATTACTGAGTATGATAGATTCTAAATCCATCCAAGTTGCTGCAAAGTCCATATGTTTGTCCTTCTTTATGACTGCATAACATTCCATTGTGTATATGTACCACTTTTTTTTTTAATCCAGTTCAGTTTCAATGGGCAGCACAGTTGGTTTCATGTTTTTGCTATTGTTAATAGTACTGCAACAAACATGTGTGTGCTGCAATTAACATGTATATCTTTTTTTGAAGAATTATTTGAATTCCTCCAGATATATTCCCAGTGGGGGTTGCTGGGTCATATGGAAGATCAAGGTCTAGTTCGTTTAGAAATTGCCACACTGTTTTCCAAAAAGGTTGCACTTGCTTGCATTCCCACCAGCAGTGTAGAAGTGTTCCTTTTTCTCTGCATCCTCAACAGCATCTGTTGTTGTTTGATTTATTAATGATGGCCATTCCTACTGGGGTTAGGTGGTATCTCAATGTTGTTTTGATTTGCATTTCTCTGATAATGAGTGAGGCTGAGTACTTTTTCATGTGACTATTGGCTGCCCATATATCTTCTTTTGAGAAGTGTCTATTCATGTTTTTTGCCCACTTTTTAATGGGGCTAGGGTTTTTGTTTGTTTGTTTTTTGTTTTGTTTTGTTTTTCCTTTCAGCATGTTTGAGTTCCTTGTAGATCCTGAATGCTAGGCCTTTGTAACTAAATGTGGCAGATGCCTAGGTTATCAAGGCTTTGGAGATGAGGACCTACCCTCTAAATCTCCTGTCATGTTCTAGAGAAGCAGGTCACCTGATGAAGTTTACAAAATCAAAAGACGAATAACATTTAGCCTAGGAAGAAGCAATTCATTAATGGAAAAGAAGCCTATTGCTGGACTTGGTCATTATTTTAACCATTCCTTTTTAAATTTTTATTTTAGATTCAAGAGCTATCTAAAATACCATGTGCATGTTTTTTTTTACAGGAATATTGTGTGATGGTGAGGTTTGGGTTTCCATCAAACCTGTCCCCCAAATAGTGAACATTGTACTCCATAGATGGTATTTCAACCCTTACCTTCATCCTTCTCCCTCCCTTTTAGAAGTTTCCGGTATCTGCTGTTTCATTTCTATGTCCGTGTGTACTTGGTGTTTATTTTCTTTCTTTTTTTTTTTTTCTTCAACTTGCTTCTTTATTTTAGCTTACATGATCGTGGAAAAAGAGATGTTTCTTTTTTCCAAAAATTGCACCAAGGTAGGTGTTTATTTTCATGTCCCTATGTACCTAGTGTTTAACTCCTGCTTATAGGTGAGAACATGTGGTATTTGGTATTTTGTTTCTGTGTTAATTCACTTAGAATAATAGCTTCCGGCTGCATCCAAGTTGCTGTAGAGGCCATGACTGCATAGTATTCCATGATATATATGTACCACATATTCTTTATCCAGTCCACTACTGGTGAGCACTTAGATTAGTTCCATGTTTTTGCTATTGTGAATCGTGTTGCAGTATACGTATGAGTGCCAGTGTCTTTTTGGTAAAACTACTTATATTTCTTTGGGTGTATCTCCAGTAGTGTTATTGCTGGGTCTAATAGTAAACCTATTTTTACTCCTCTTAGAAATTTCCAAACTGCTTTCCACAGGGACTGAACTAGCTTACATTCCTCCAAAAGTGTAGGAGTATTCTTTTCTCTGCAACCTCACCAATATCTATTGGTTTTTTACTTGTAATAACAAACATACTGACTGGTATAAGATGGTAACTCACTGAAATTTTAATTTGCATTTTTCTAATTATTAGTGTTGTTTGGCATTTTTTCATGTGAGTTGGTTGTTTGTGTGTCTTCTTTTGAGAAGTGTCTAGACATATATATCCTTTGTTCACTTTTTGACAGGTTTATTTTTTTTTCTTGTCAATTCATTTAAGTTTCTTACAGATCCTGGATATTAGCTCTTTGTCATATGCATAGTTTCTCCCACTCTCTAAGTTGCTTGTTTACTGTGTTGATGGCTGAATTATGTACCAATTGCCAATTTTTTATTTTGCTGCTTTTGCTTTTGAGGACTTGAACAAAAATGTATTGCCTAGGACACATTCCTGAAGTATTGAGTGTTTTCAAGGTTTTCTTCTAGAATTTTTATAGTTTGAGGTCTTACATTTATGTCTTTAATCTATCTTGAGTTAATTTCTGCATGTAGTTATAATTAGTTATAACTATCTTGAGTTAATTTCTGCATGTAGTTATAATTATAATTATAAAAACATCACTTTTATCATATTGGTAGCCAGTTTTCCCAGCACTATTTGTTGAATAGCATATTCTTTCCTCAATGTTTATTTTTGTTGACTTTGTCTAAGATCAGATAGTTGTAGGTGAGTGACTTTATTTCTGAGTTCTCTATTCTGTTTCATTTGTCTATTATCTATTTTTGTAACAGCACAAAGCTGTTTTGGTTACTGTAGCTTTGCAGAAAAGCTTCAAATCTAGTAATGTGATGCTTCTGGCTTTGGTCTTTTTTGCTTAGGATTGCTTTGGCTATTCAGGTTCTTTTATACTTCCATACAAATTCAAGAATTTGTTTTTATTCTGTGAAAAATGATGCTGACAGTTTGATGGAGATTTTGTTGAATCAATAGATTGCTTTAGGCAGTGTGGACATTTCCAGTCTATGAGCATGGGATGTTGTTCCATTTGTTTGTGTTAGCTTTGATATCTTTCACCAGATTTTGTAGTTCTTGTTGTAGACATCTTTCACCTCCTTGGTTAAATGTATTTCCAGGCATTTTATTTTTGTGTGACTCGTCTAAATGGGATTGTGCTCTTGGTTTGATTCTCAGCTTGTACATCATTGGTGTATATAAATGCTACCAATATTTTTAACATTGATTTTGTATCCTGAGACTTTGCTGAAGTACAAATATAGAATTATTTTGTCTGAGAAGAGAGATAATTGGACTTCCTCTTTCATTTGTTTCTCTTCCCTGATTGGTCTGGCTAGGACTTCAGTACTATGTTAAATAGGAATGGTGAGAACGAACATTCTTGTTTCGGTTCTTGGGGGAAATGCTTTCAATTATTGCTCATTCAGTATGATGTTGACTGAGGGTTTGACATATGGCTCTTATTATTTTGAGGTATGTGTCTTCAGTGCCTATGTGGTTGAGGGTTTTTTCATAAAGGAATATATTTTTCTGTATTTACTGATATGGTCATGTGGTTCTTGTTTTTAATTCTGTTTAAGTAATGGATCATATTTATTGACTTGCATAGGTTAAACCACCCTTGCATCACAGGAATAAAGACCACCATTATAGTGAATAATTTTTTTAATGTTCTGTTGGATGTAGTTTGCTAGTATTTTGCTGAGGACCTTTATGTCTATGTTCATCAGGAATAGTGGTCTGTGATTTTCTTTCTTTGTTGTATCTTTGCCAGATTTTTATATCGGGATGATACTAGTTTTGTAAAATGACTTAGGGACAAAACCCTCTTCCTCAATTTTTTTCAATAGTTTCACTTGGATTGGTATCGGCTCTTCCTTGTATGTCTAGCAAAATTTGGTTGTGAATTCATTCAGTCCAGAAGTTTTATGGGTTGGTTGCATTTTTATTACCGATTCAATTTTGTGGCTTATTACTGGTCCATTATGTTGAAGATTCTTAACCATGGAATTTCCAGATTTAGCAAATATAAATTATAGATGCCAAATATTTCATGATAAATATTTATATTTTTTAAAAATTCACTGCTTATCTGAAATTAAAATCTAACTGGGGATTCTACAATTTATCTGGCAGCTCTGAGAGTTAATTACTGCAAAAATATGTGAAGATATGTGATTTTGTGACACATTACTCCTGTTATCACTGTTTCTGAACCTACCTCATCTTTATCATAGGTGTAATGGAAACTATAGGACTATCTTTCTCCAGATACTTTGTTGTCATGTACCTCTTCCAGATGATAACACTAAGTTCAGGTATGAATCTCTCTCTTACCCTTATGAGCCTTGGCAATATCAAGTGTTCCAGGAAAAGTGGAAAGCAAACAAAAATGACAGTCTTTTGATTATTAACACTCAGACTTAATACACAGTTATATGATGAGGATGTGTACTATAGGACTCAGCTTATGGTTAGAAAAAAATTATTATTTCTATTCAGCAAATCTTTTTTATGTATCCAGATTTCTGTTGTGTTCCAGAGAGTAAAAAAAAAAACAAATGAAGACCTAATACTTGCCCTTGAAAATCTAACAGTCATATTGAGAAGCACAATTTACTTATCGCTTACACAGTGTGAAAGTGATCCATGCTGTGGATGCATATTGAAATTCATGTGAGTTATCAGTATGGGAGGACATAAGATAAGTCAAGATGGGACAGACTGGTGAGATCTTGACAGGTGATGAAAATTTGCATTTGTAAAAAGATCTAAGCAAAGGAGAAATAAATATAGCTCACTTAGAGGCATATAAAGGAAAGACCTAAGACAAGTAACATAAGAGATTTAAACGTTTCTGACAAAAGTTGCCTGTTACATGGTACAGATCTTATAGATGCACATGTAGGTGGTACCCAGTCTTTGACTAAGAAAAATAATGCTGCCACAAACATTCTTGCACATACATTTTGAGTATAACTGTGAGTATGAATAGTAAATATTTCTTTGAGTAGGACTGCTGGTCAAAGGCTATGTGTTATTTTATCATGATATTGAAAATGTTATTCTGAAATAGTTACCAATGTATATGTTCACCAACAGCATATGTGAATTTGTCAGGTGGGTGTTACAGGTATCAAAACTTTTTATCTTTTCCAACCTTACAGATGAAAAATGTAATCTCACAGTTACCTTTTTATTAATGAATGAGGCTGAGTTTCTTTCCCCTCAAAAAATTGTATTTCTTTTTCTCTGAACTGCCTACTTATGAACTTAATCCATATTTCCTTTGCATTGTTGGTTTCTTCTTTGTTGTTTTTTAAGAATTTGTAAACATTACAAATTAATCTTTGATCTAGTATACCTGTTCTATGTGTTTCTGATCAATTTATAATTCAATGGAATTGTTAATTATACTTTGAATATGCAGATTTCTTTTGATTTGACCTTTTATTTTGTTTTGTGGATTACACAACTTTCTCTTAAATTATTGTTTAATTTTTCTTCCTTTTCCTCCTCTTTGTTTAAATTTTAATAGACTTTATTTTCTAGTACAGTTTTAAATTTACTTTGTGCAAAAAGCATATAACTCCACTCTTCGGTCTGCCCCTTCTCACATGGTGTTTCCCCTGAATTTAAGACTTTTTTGAAGAGCCTTGGCAATATCAAGTATGACAGAAAAAGCAAGACGTGAACAAAAGAGACAAACATTTTTGACTATTGTTCCTCAAGTTTTATTCATAGTTATGTGATGAGGACATATACTATAGGATCCAGCTTATGGTTAGGAAAAATGTTTTCAGAGAAAACAAAAGAATTTACCCTCAATAAATTGTCTGTGTGGATGTGTGATATAATGATTTTTTAAAAAGGTATGTTGTGACTCCTACTCTCACCTTTTGGTTACCATTTCCCTTCTCAGAACAATTCACAGTGAATGACTTAGAGGGACCAGTCTTGGCTCCACTGTGTGGGGAAGTTGAGCTGAATTGCCAGCTATCTCCGCCACAGAGCACACAACACATGGAGATACGCTGGTTCAGGGACCGCTACACACAACCTGTTCATCTGTACAAGAGTGGTAAAGACCTATATGGAGAAACTATCTCCAAGTATGTGGAGCAGACAAAGCTCCTGAAAGAAGCCATTGGGGAAGGTAAAGTGATTCTCAGGATCCTTATTGTTGGAGTTGATGATGATGGGCAGTACCACTGCCTCTTCAAAGATGGTGATTTCTATGAATAAGCCATCACAGAAATGAAGGTCACAGGTAAGGATTGACCTCTCTGAGGTTTCTATGCATCAGTGATTCTCAACCTGAGGCTAAGTATTAGGAAAATTCTCACCATTTCTGTTTTATATTACTTGGTTTGCCTAGCAAGTTCAAATTTATGCATTCAGTTTTTGAACTGGAAAGGATGGAGGATCAAGAATAAAAATTACATCTGTGTATACATCAAATCTATCAGTAAATACTGTCTGTGTTTTTATGTTTACATACATAGTTATATTTCTAAAAAAATTAACAGAATCCTTTTAGAAATTGCTACAATCTTTTTAATTATTTATGACAGCACTTTAGTAAAACTTGACTTTAAAACATACTTAAATCTTTACAATAGTCTTCTTAATGATAATTCTTATTCTCATTTTTCTCTGATTCAACTCATTGTGTTGTTCCAGATTCATTTTCCTAAGTCTATTTTTAAAAGTCTTCACCTAGTCTTTGGTTCTTTCCACATATATCCTATTTAAACGTTCAGTTATTCAGTCTCATTGGCTACATTTCAGGTGCTTAGTTGTCTCATGTAGCAACTACTGTATTAAACAGAACAGATATAGAATATTTGCATCATCGCAGAAAATTTGATTAGTTAGAGTTGCTCTAGTGTAACACTTAAATTCGATTCATTCTTTCTTATTTCACATATCAGGCAAGTCTTTTGTCCCAAGTAATGTCCTAAAACTCCTCAAAGACTTGCTTATTTTCTCTAAATTGGCATGTACTATATTTTTATGATAGTAGCATATTATTTATTTTATGCAAAATGTTGTATGCAAATATCTATCATATACAAAGTACATGCAAATTAAAGTTTTCACTACAGTTGAAATCTTGCATTTATAATGTTATTGATTATTTATTTATAATTTATTATGGCAGCTCAAAAGTGGCTAATAATGAAGATAGGAAAAAAATTAAGCCATAAACTCTATGAGGGTTGAGCTCTTGATTTTTTTAAACTCATTATTATAATCCAGGGGTTTAGCTGAGTCTCCTGGATTTAGTAAATAACTCATAAATATGTTTGAATAAATAAATAAATAAGGCATTTCCTCACTTAACTTATGTAAGACAAATTTGTTAATTTTTTTAATACAACCCTTCATTATGCTTTGTCATGGCAATCAGTCCCACAGAGTTTGGCTAAGGACACAGGTATTAAGTTTGGGCAGGAAGCCTTTTCTTTGTTCTGTTTTCCTATCCTTTTCCTTAAAAATACTGGGTTTTTTTCCCCCTTTCTTTCCAATTAGCTACAAGCTTAGAAATACAGATTCTTATGCATCTTCCTAATACCAAAGGTCTTATAGTGGAAATTAATTCAGAAGGTTGGTTCCCAGAGTCTCAAATAGAATGGAGAGACAGCAGAGGACAGATCATTCCACCTGCATCAAAATCCCATTCACAGGATAGGACCAAATTGTTCAACATGAAGATGAGCCTTCTCCTTAGAGCTAGCTCCCATGGGAATGTCTCTTGCTATCTTCGAAATCTTTTAACTGGTGAGGAAGAAAGGACAAGCATTTTTCTATCAGATGAGATCTGTATGTTTGCTCTTTGTTCTTCAAATGATGGCCAGTGCCATAAAATTTATAAGCTAAAGAGAAACATTTATATACATAGCTTTTTCACTTGGTTTCCAAAACATTATTTTCTCTTGACTTTATTCATCATCTTGCTTGTTTTCTTTCTTATTCTTTTTTGCTGCATTCATTTTTCTTCCTTCTGCCTTCTTGATATTGGGTTTCCTAGGACATAGTTATTGAGTCTTTTATCTGTTGTGATTTCATTTTGTCTTGTTAACCTGAAGTAATAGAAACAATCAGAATCCATTTAAGAGTTTATTCATTCAAAAAGCTACAAATGGCCATCTCAGAAACACAAAACACTCTAGAGAAATAGGGACAGTGCTCCAAAGTTAAAAGTTAAAGTTTCTTTACATAGACAGAAAACTAAGAAATATAGTAGGATTATAATTATATAAGGCTGTTTGATGAGTTAGAACAACTTAATTAGCACATACACTTTTTTCCATCCTCCCTTTTTTTTACAGCTTGTTTTTATTTCTTTTCTAATTTAAACAGGTGTGTTTAACATTCTGTCTTAGACAATGTGATAGTCATGAAGTCTTTGTGTGAGAGAGGTAAGTGGGGAGTTAATTTATAAAAAAAGATCAACAGTGAAGAAGGAAGGGCTCTTCTCTAACTCCCTTTAGTCTTTTATAAAATTTTATACAACAATGCAGCTAAGGAAAAATGCTCATCAAATCAGAGAAACAAAGGGTTACACATGCATAAGTTACAGCTGCCTGTCATGTAAATCAGGTCTCATAATCACATTCCCTTACGGCTCAAAATATTTTAAAGTTCCAACAGTTTAGATTTTGAATTACTTATTTTCACAGAGTTAAGAGGGAGTTTTGGAGGGTCATGGAAAGGTTCTATATTTTGAATGTGGCAGTGGTGACATGGTATACATTTCTCAAAATGTATCAAATTGTACTACAAATGGGTGCATTTTATAGTATGTAAATAATATTTCAATTTTTTTTTAATGGGAAATGAAGTACCAAGAGAAACCCCAGTGACTCATTTGGGTGTCAAGCTGTGTGAATTATCCACTAATAACCTTACATGTTCAAATGTTAAAATGACTCATGAGACTTTTATATTCACAAAATAGCTTCTTCACAAAAAATACAGTATAATAAAAGCAGAAAAAGTATAAGCATCAAAACGGGTTTAGAGTTCTTACAAGCAGATTGCTTGGTCTACCCACTACTGGGTTTCTTTACTTTTAGTGTTAATTATTCATCTAATCCATTTATGGAGTTAGAGTTTAGAGTATCATTTTGATGATTATTATAATTTGCCTCAGATAAGCCTGGATATTGTCTAAACATCTTTTCAGATCTTTCAAGTATGATTCACCTGAATTTTGTCAATATTGTTGTATTTTGTATGTTGTTATATTTTATTCCAGTCTACTATCTTCGAAAGACTAAAGGAAAGCCTGTAAGCAAAGCCTTTGCAGTTTCACAAGCATTTTTACAGTCTTCTTCTGAACATTTATAGAAAGTCTCTAGGGGGTTTCTTCAATGGACTTTATTCTTCCAACCTGTAGTCTTACTTTCTGAAACAAACATGTGAACTAGTGGATATAAATCAGAAAGCCAAGGTCATAAGCTCAAATATTTAGTTCAAATTATGTGGCAATGCCAATAGTGTCCTGATGAGGGTCAGGAAATTTCTTAACTATACCTTTGACCATGGTCAATAAACTATGGCAGATCCTCCCCCCACACCTTCTCCACCAAGCACTGAATGCACATGAAACAGAAACAGAACAGCAGAGGCAGGAAAAGGAAGATAAAGGTAAGATAATTCAGACAGTAAAGTAGAAAGAGTAGGAAGAGGAGGAAAAGCATTTGAGGGAGAAGATTCTGAAGAAAGAGAAGCTTCAGCAACCTTTTAATTTCAGAAATTGTTTTAGACAAACTTTTACTTGTCCTCCTGCAAAGAAATAATTTTATCAGAACCTCTTTTGGACACTTTAAAATACCACTGGAAATTACTCTCTCAATTTTTCTATTTTATTCTAGAGTCAGCTTTCTCTAATTGAGCATGTAAATAAGTTAAAGTATTTCAAAAGCACCTCCCTTTGGCCATTGTAATTTGGGTTCATCACAAGTTATGTGAGACTATTTTTCTAAATAATGACAAAAAAAAATGATGCCATAAGCATTGTTCATGAATCCAGCTAGAATTTCTAAATGTGGATCTCTCCTTAATGAGGACTTGGTTTTAGATGGCTGGTTGCTTATAATTTATAGTCTCTTCTTAAGTGATCCAAATGCTTAAAGGGAAAGATATTTTGGATCTAACGTTCTGCTTATGGGAATAGCTCCCCAAGCTGTCACCCTTAGGTTGGTTGTTCCCTAGCATGTATTGTGTGCTGAACCCCAGGAATTCTGGGCACTTAAAGCACTGGGAGATCAGTCCCTCATATGTGCCCACCTGTTTAAGAAAATTTTTCTGTAATTCTTCTCTGTGGAGTCCTTCTGGGACTCTTTTTCACCACAAGCACTAAACCCCAACACTTCCATGAGACCTTAGTTGCATAAGATATCTTACACCTGGGAGGCACATGATCCTTTGTCTTTGGGACATATCACATCCTCATAAAAGACTTTTATAATTTTGTGCCACTCAAAAGAAGAACTTATTTATTTGTTTTTTTTCTTTTTTTATTAAACATCTTTTTTATTTTAAAATTGTGGGGTACAGTTAAGGGTTAGGTATACAAATATGCATTGTGCAGGTACCCTTGTTGATGAGGTGTGCCCCCCATCCCCAGACAGATATCAACTACCATGAATCTCACCTCCCTTCCCCTCCCTGCCTCCCCCCATAGTTTCCCACCTCTGTCAATCCTTTTCTTATAGTATTACTCAAGTTGTTCAAGGTCCACTTATGAGTGCGAACATATGATACTCAGATCTTTGTTTCTGTGAGAGATCACTCAGTATTATAGACTTTAGTTCCATCCAGGTTGCTGCAAAATTCATGATTTTGTTCTTTTTTATGACTGCATAGTACTCCATCATGTATGTGTACCACATTTTTTAAATCCGGTCCTCTTTTTATGGACAGCATGGTTGGTTCCAGGTTCTTGCTATTGTGAACAATGCTGCGATAAACATATGTGTACAGGTATCTTTTTTATAGAGTGACTTGAGTTCTTCGGGGTATATTCCCAGTAGGGGGATTGCCGAGTCATATGGGAGGTTGACATTTAGAGCTTTTAGGAATTGCCACACTGCTTTCCACAGAGGTTGCACTAGTTTACACTCCCACCAACAGTGTAGCAGTGTTTGCTTTTCACCACATCCTCTCCAGCACCTGTTATTTTTTGAGTTATTGATAATTGCCATTCTGACTGGAGTTCAGAACTGGCATCCAATTCCTGAACAAAACCTGAAATGCACAGGCCATAAGAGATACAATAGACAAGTGGGACCTCAATAAACTGACAAGCTTCTGCAAAGTCAAAGAAACCATCAAGAGAGCAGGGAGACAGCCCACAGACTGGGAAAAAGTATTTGCCAACTCCATGTCTGACAAAGGTCTAACATCTTGGATCTACAAGGAACTCAAACATGCTAAAAAGAAAAAAACAAACAACCCCATGACAAAGTGGGCAAAAGATATGAACAGACACTTCTCAAAAGAAGACATCCAAGCAGCCAACAGACACATGAAGAAATGTTCAACCTCACTAATCATCAAGGAGATGCAAATTAAAACCATATTTTTTTTGGAGCTGGATTCTCACTCTGACACCCGGGCTGGAGTGCTGTGGCATGCTCATGGCCACCCCAGCATCAACCTGCTGGGCTCCGGAGATCCTATCACTTCAGCCTTCCAAGTAGCCTTAACTATAGGCATGTGCTACCAAGCCCAGCTAATTTCTGATTTATTATAGAGACAAAGTCTGGCCAAGCTGCCCAGACTGGCCTTGAACCCGCAGGCTCAGGAAATCCACTTGCCTTGGCCTCCCAAAGTGCTGGGATTACAGGCTGAGTTACTGAGCCTGGCCAAAAGAAAAATTTAGATGTATCTATTTGAACAGAGTTTTAAACCTGACCAGTTAAAAAAAAATCACAGATTTTCTTAAGCCACAGACAATCACTTCTTTCTATTAAAGAGAAAGTACTTTCTCTTTAATAAAATTTTGAATAAGGGAAAAGATTACAAACTGGCACGACAAGCAAAACCTTAACCAAAAGACCACATACCGACTTCCGGTAAGATGGCGATGGGGCAACCTGGTCTATGAAACCCTCTGCAAAGGAGAATGCAGAGGGTCTCGGGCTCTCTCCCTGGGGGCTGTGGACCCCAACGTCAGCAGCCTGCTCTTCACATGGAGCTCGGCTGTCACCACCGCTGGACAGCCACTGCAGCTGCAGACACACCAGCCGCTGGTGCCACTGCAGGCTCCGTGGTGGCCATAGTACATTGCACCACCCATGCATGAGGCAGTCCTCAACTTCAGTCCTTGAAGCCCCTGCAGGCAAGATCTGCTGGGATTGCTGCCACCTCTCCTGCGACCGAGATGTCCTGCCCACCATGAGTCTCCTGTCTGTGCCCTGAGGCAGGTATCCACTCCAGTCTCTGCTGGTTCCTGTCCAGGCCCACCACTCTGGGGCGAGCACCTGAGATAGCACCACCTGCTGGCGATTCACGAATTAAAGAAGATGGTGACGTGGAAGGAAGGAAAAAGTAGGGAAGGGGAAAAAACCACACAAAGGAAGAAAAACCAAAAGAGGAATATAGGTCTCACACAGACCCCTGGGAGATCAGACACTGAGAAAACAGATTCCAGAACACCAACAATGAAGAGCCCCCAGAATGACTGGCTACATGCAACAAACCCAGACATCAAGATATTAATAGAGAGGATTAAAAAAATTGAAGAGAGATGAGAGGAAAATAGGAAGGAGCTGATGTCAGAAATAACAGCAGTAAAGAATACTGTGATGGAA